TTACAGGGATCTCACACAAACTTGTACAGCATTTCACTTGTGAAGGTTGTAGTTTTTATGCCTGATGTCTCCAGTTTGTTTGACGTGATTACTTGATTTTTGGCGATGGTCTTTTACTCTAAATTTCAAGCTTAACATGGACCGGTTACCTATCTCTCAAGGATTCCATTGAGAAACTCTAGACTAAGGGTTGTAAAGATACCAAATTGTCCAGAACATGACACAGAAAAGAAAGAAGGCTGCACACATGCCAGCCTTGAAAGATAAGGGGGCTTTGCTCCAGAGAGCAAAGGGCATGGTGTTGGAGACAGGGATAGGTACTTCACCTCCACATTAGGATCGAGGGAACTAAGGCCTACTCTGGGCTGCCCTATGTGGAATGCAGAGCATGGCATGATCCGGGCTTTACTGCACAGTGGCATCAGCTCAGGAGGGTTCTGGTCTTGACAAAAAGCTCCTCTCTGCCTCTCCAGTCATCACTTTCCAGCCTGTGGAACATGTAGATAACTGCTTTGACCCCCACCTCCCATGCCCTTGCTCCATCACCTAGTAGAATTAGCAGAGCCAGAAAGCTAGAAGGCACAGAGTGCTGAGACAGGTCATCTTGCTGTGTGTGCACACTGTGACAGTGGCAATGGCGCTGGGACACACTGGCTGTTCTGCCCATCAGTGTGTCAGCTCAGTCACTGAATGCCTCTACCTCCCCAAGTGGTGCACAAGTTGGTTGAGGCTAGAGGAAATGCAGTGCAGAAAATTCAAACCCTAACCTCCTTCTGTCTCCTGACCCAAAGTTCAGCATGTCCTTGTCTTGTTCAAATGAAAGCAATGACCGTTTTACTGTTGTTTTTTTTTTAATTGAGATTGTTTCTTATGGAACAGGAAGCAAGTGTCTAGAATCATAGACATGTAAAGTCAGCAAGGACCTTCAACACATCTAAAGCCTTCCTTTTCTCTCAGGATCCTTAAGCTTCTCTGCCAGCTAGTTTCCCAAAGTCCAGCCTCGGCTAAGTTCTATCCAAGCTCGTATTGGTGGGCTGGGCCCTGTAGTTCTGGTGTTTTGGTGTGTGTGTGTTGTGCTGGTCCTGGGGCTTGAACTCAGGGCCTGGCCTCTGTCCTTGAGCTTTTTTGATCAAGGCTAGTGTGTCACTTGAGACACAGCTCCACTTCTGGGTTTTTAAGGTGCTTAATTGGAGATGAGTCTTGTACTTTCCTGCTCAGGCTGGCTTTGAATCATGATCCTCAGATCTCAGCCTCTTAGAGTAGCTGGGATTAAAGGCATTTACCACCAGTGTCTGGTTGTAGTTCTGTTTTATATCAAGCCAAGATGCCTCCTGGTGACATTACCTGTTGGTTGTGAATCTGCCAGAAGCATCCAAGATGTGGCGGTTCCCTTGCTTCTTTCTTATCACCTCCTTGACTTTGGCCACCTCTCACCTTTTAATTCTCTCCACTCAAACACCCCCAAATCTTTCATTAGTCCTCTTCTACTACGATGGCAGCAGGACTACCCTTGGGAAGAGTGCCCATATCAGACCACATGTTAGTAAGGTCAAGACTAGAGTGAGATGGCTGAGGCCCTCAGACTTGCAGGTGCCAAGAGAATATACTTCCTTGTCTTGTATGCTCTGGGTACACTTTTTAGCTCATCCCACTCTACCTGGTTTTGTCACAGTCATGGGCATGGTGGCACATGCCTGGAATCCCAGCACTTTGGAAGCTGAGACAGGAGGATCGAGTGTATGAGGTCAATCTGAGCTATGTAGTAAGACCCTGATCACAAATAAGTAAATACACAAAGTCCTGGCAGTGCAGTAGACTCCTGCATCCTTAGGTAGCAGCATCTGCCCCACAGTGGGTACCCTAGGGTGGGGCCACTAAACTAGTGGTAAATTCACATTCCACACCTGTTTAATACTAGTCACCAACAAAGACCAGTCTCATCACATACCTCATGGTCTTAACAAGTGTGCACTCTGCACTTGAAGCTTTATTTTGCACCAACTTAGAGCTCATTGTGAGGTAGTAGCTGATCTTCTTTCTGCTCAATTAACTTTGTCTTATTAGGCAAAATGGATCTATTTACATTGTGGTGGTGCTGTGAGTAAAGCTCTTGACTTTTAGCCAGGCAGTAATACTGACTTTGACTTGCTCTTCCAGGATACCTTTGTACCCTCAGCATCCCTCAGCTATCATGAAGCCTGGAAGTAGATCTATTTATGTAGTTTCCTTCATTCTAGACAGTTTCCCTATGTCTGATGAGGATAAGTTAGGAAAAAATTAAACTACTGATTCTATTTTGAGATAATGAAATTGCTAAGGAATATTGTTGCTTACAATACTTAATCAGTGTAATCACTGAACACACAGGTGTGTGTTCACCTCCCTTCCACCCATCTAATGTGACCTTTAAAACACACTATTTTATTTTGGTCATGTGCAATATTCACTTCTTACTCATTTTTCTTGGCTTGTACAAAGGATGAGTTTTTACATAATGGTGAGAAATAGGAACAGAAAGAAATGGGAATTGGTTAAAGTAAAAGTCTGCAAATAAACTACATTCACTTCTCATCTACTCATGGTGGCCCATCTTGATTGTTTGGGGCAAGTTTGTTTGGCAAGCTGCCTTTAAATCACAGTAAAAAATTTTTTTTTAAATTAGGAAATTTGTAAGGGATAGAAATCTTTATTCCGTGATGTTTCACCACAATGGAAAAGCTAATTTTAAAGGATTTGTAACTTGGAACTTTAAGAACTGCCATGGACAAAAGGCCATCGGAGAAATTAGGAGAACCTCTTAATGTCAAGTCTATAATATGGATTTGATTCTGATAGAAGGGAGGCTTTAAAAGCTGCACAAAGGCTCCCAAGGCAGGAATTGTGGTGGAGTACGAGTGTGTGGGACTCTCGGAGAATAGATTTGTGAGCCAGAGCCCCCTGAGTTTGGTCCGGGTCTGCTCTGAAAATCTACTCTCAAGGTTAGCGTGCCAAGGAGTGCTTTCTCAGTGTTAATTTTCATGAACATTTCTATGACACACCTTGAATGAGCCAAGGTGTGGTATGTACATTCCACTGGAGATTAGCTCCAATTTGAGATTCCCTAGGACAGGACCTTCTGGGTGTAGAGTGTCTCTTCCCATCCTTGTCTGGGCTTGGCTTCTTTTTCTAGATGGTTTAAGAGTTGGAAAGTATTCAGGACCAGAGATGTGTTCCAGGAAGTTGTAGACCTATAGCCTACAAACACATTAGGAAAGTCTAGTCTTAAAAGAACCGAGTAATCTGGGTCACTTCTCTCCTTGACTCCCTGTCTCAGGTAGAGAGTTGGGTATCCAGTCCCAAAGTGCTCAGAGCCTGTTACTTGTCTCTAGTTCCGCCCTACCTGAATCTCTTCAGAGCGGCTAGTGTGCTGTTCCTTGGTGTGCTGCTTTCTGTGAAGCCAAGCTGGATGCTGTTTGGTGTGCAAAGGAGCTGCCAGCTGCTCCTAAGCGTTTTTTCATGGCCCATCATTGTCAGAAACAGTGTATTCCCATTCCCAAGAAGCCCTGCTGTGTAGTGCAAATGCCTCAGCAAGGACCAGGCCCCTGGGCTCTGATGTGATCTATGTCAGCCACTCCAGAGAGGGAGTGTGAGACTTCAGGTTGCCTAAAAATCATGCCGTGGCTCTGGTCAGTCGTGGGGCTTGAACTCTGGGCCTGGGTGCTGTCCCTCAGCTCTTCAGCTCAAGGCGAGCGCTCTACCACTTGAGCTACAGAGCCACTTCGGTTTTCTAGTGGTTTATTGGAGATAGGAGTCTCACGGTCTCTCCTGCCCAGGCTGGCTTTGAACCGTGATCCTCAGATCTCAGCCTCCTGAGTAGCTAGGATTACAGGCGTGAGCCACCAGCGCCAGGCTTGCCCCCTGCTATTCTTATGCTCCAGTAACTTCCAAATGTCTAAACATCATGTTGTATCTGAGCTCCTGGTCTTTCTGTGGACTGTCCCTTTGCTTGCAACACCTTCCCCGCCCCCCTTACCTCCTACACTCCAGTCTCCCCTTGACCTCCCTAATCTGTACAGCCAATGTATACCACCTCAAAACACCCTTTCCAGGAACCTTTCCCAAAATGGGTCCACTTTTATGTGCTCTCACAGCACACAGGCTACCTCTACCAGTGATATGATTTCCCATTTACTGGGTTGCTCCCAGCTTGAGAGCTTCCGGAGAGTCTTGTCATGGAGTCACAGGTACTGTCCCCAAATGTCTTTGGAGGTATCCCAAGTGCCATGTAGGGTGGCACCGCCTGGTCTCTCAGGTGAGCTGGGAATGTGGCTGGGTCTGGTTATCAAATGATAATCACCAGTGGAAGCCCTCTAGAGTTTTTTTTTTTGGGGGGGTGGTGGTGGTCCTGGGGCTTGAACTCAGGGCCTGGGCGCTATCCCTGAGACTCTTTGTGCTCATGGCTAGTGATCGACCACTTGAGCCACAGTGGCACTTCCATCTTTTTCTGTGATTAACTGGAGATAAGAGTCACAAATTTTCCTGCTCAGGATGCTTTGAACTGCGATTCACAGATTTCAGCCTCCTGAGTGAGATTACAGGCACTGCTACCCAGCTCTAGAGGATTAAAAAAAAAAAACTCCACCAGGAAATGTACTCATTATCTTACTCATGTAACTGTAACCTATCTGTACACTATTTTTACAATAAAAAACATATTTAAAAAAAACAAACCTCCACCCCAAAAATCCACAATATCAGAGATAGTAAGGTCCCTGAATAACAATGCGCAAAGCTTCCCTGCCAGTATGGGTAGCTGTTATTGAAAATAAACCTCAGCTGGGCACCTTAGGCCTGTGCCCAAAATCTGAGAATTGGAGTTTGAAGCCAGCCTGAAAAAGCAAAGTCTGTAAGACTTTTATCTCCAATAATCCTGCCCCCGGCCCTGGCAAAAAAAAAAAGCGGTTCAAGTGGCAGAACACTAGTCTTGAGAGAAAAAAAAACCCACACACATAAACACCACATATGAAAATAAACCTTATTGTTTTTACTACTGTGATTTTGGGATTTGTTATTACAGTACAATCTAGTCCACCTTGACTGATACAGATAACTTCAAACATTTCTGTCAATCACAAAGCAGATATATGAACAATCATAATTCCTATCACCATTTTTCCTGGCTATGAAACTAGCTTTAAGGAGGCTAAGCAGATGTTCGACCACATCACTCTTGGGTCTCTAACTTTGTGCTTGGTGATAAAGTATTGCTTGGAAGGGCCTATGGGTATCCCTCTACAAGGAGGTATGCATGCCAACTCCTGTGCCCTCTGAACAGCTCAGATAATGCCTAGGTGGACAAGCTTCTGGGTGTATCCCAAGGCAACCATGAGCTGCACCCACCTGCACTGATGGCCTGCTACAGCGGGAAGCCTGGAAACCACTGCCCTCAACCTTCTGAGTATCTCCCCAAATAAGTAGCATGCCCTTAGTCCTCTACCCTGGGGCCCTTTCCTCTTGGCCTGCTCACCTGGCCCTAAGCATACTTCTCCCTGTCTCTTAAGAGAACCAAAAGTTATACTCATTAGTGTGGAGAAGGAATATAGCACCCTTCCAAGTTAGCTTGGCTGGCTTCAGGAATATAACAAAATTGCCAGTGCTTCTGGACTTTGCACTTCCTGGGTGGGTGTGGGCTGTAAATAGAAGTCAGAGTCAAAGCTGCTTTATTTACCAAAACACAGATCTCCCCTCAGTTCTACCAGCCTTCAGCCCTTGAGACATGGTCTCCAGATGTTCTGAGACAGCATGTTTTCAGTTGCCTTTTCCTGGAGATCGCCGCTTATGGCAATGCAGAGCAGCTGACAAGGTATCACACAGGTAGGTAGTACGGCTGTGGGATGGCCACAAGGGAAATCACAGGAAGCAGGGGCTCCAAAGCCTCTCCTTGCTACTCAGCTTCTATATTTGATGTTCCTCTGATCATAGTTTGCCCAGGCCCAGCTCCAGTCTTAACTCTGCAACTCTGTTCTCCACAAAACTCATGCGGGTGCCATAGTAACTCTGAAGAGCCAAAGGCCCAGATCTCAGCCTCATACTCAGCTCTACCGTTTTACAGACCCAAATGGACATAGCGGCCAGAGGGGAGGATTACTGTTAATGTTCAACAGTGGAAGAACTGAATCTTAGAGGGGTATAGGAAGTTACCTCATCTGCACGGTAAGTTGGGGACAAACCAGGACAAAGTCTGGACTTCTATCCCTTATGACTAATTTCCTGTCTGCTTTACTATGGGGTTCAAAGTAATGAAGGTAGAGGGGAGTTTTTCTAGAAGTTTCATGCTGAGGCTTATAGGTGCACACACATATTTTCAGAATGTTGACCATACTGGAATCAGTATTATGGGATTTGAGAAGCATATTCAAGTTGGAGGCCAGATGAATTCCTGGGAGCAGTCTTGTCCCTCTTGTGGCTTGCTCAGCTGGGAGCTGCCAAAGGGCCTGGGGGGAGGCAAACCAGCCACATCTGGTGCCAGCCTTCACTTCTTACGGTCCACAAATGGATGTTGATGGCCGAGGGGAATATATGGCAGCTGTTGGGCTTCGGGGGTTCATCTGACTCAAGTTTTCATAACTGGACTCCTGAGCCTGGGGCCTGTGGACAGGAGAAAGTTGGCTGACCATTCAATATGGTAGGGGGTTGTCAGGGCTCCTGAATTCCCAAGGTATACCCTAACAGCAGGCCAAAAGAAGGGGACACAAGATGGGGGGAAGAGGGATCAGAACCCAGCTTAAAGACTAATGAAAGGAGGTCAGAAATAGGGAGGGGTGTGTGCTGCCACTGTCAGCATTCCAGACTACCAACTCTCCATCGCCTCAACGTGATTTCATCAGAATACAAAACCAGGTTTCAGGCCCCTGATCTCCAGGTTCATCTCTGCCAGTTCCCACTGCTTTCTAGACTTCTTTCTGGAATAGCCAAATAGGCATCTCAAATCTCTATGCCTACCATGCTGGGTGTGATCCTCATACACAGCCCCAACCTGTTCTCCATCATCCCAGTAAGTAGCTCCAAGGGTTAGTTTGGGTGTGCTGATTCTTCCCTTGTCCACAGGCTGACCCTCTGTCCTCAGGCAATCCTCCCCTGCCTGTCTCCACTATGACACCCATGTGTGAGCAGTCACATAGTTTCTCCCAGGCCTCCCAGCCCTTCCTGTTCATCTACCTTAAACCATCCTGACTTCCCCTTGTACTCAGACTAACTGCCCATCTTTACCTGCCTACCTCACGGTCCATGCTCTGGCCTTGCTTGCCTCCCTCTGGGTCCTACCTGTGCCTTTCTTCTTGTCTGTTCCCTTCAGCGTGGAGTGCCCCTACCCTGCACATGCAGGGCCCTCTTCCAGGTTCAGATACCCTTAGTACTATGTCCTCAGAGAGCATCTTGCTCTATAATCTCTGCCCAGTAGCCACCTGTTCCTAGAGGCTCTGCATTATCACTACGTCCATTCCCTTCACAGTTCTTATTTTATAATCTAAGGTAATTTTGCTATGTGTTTATTAAAGTTCTCCACATTGGAAAGTGAGCTCAGGGATTTTTCTGTCTTCTTAGCATCTAGTGTGTATCACAGAGTAGGTACTGAATAAATATTTCTTAAATGACCAAACATTTGGCTTTCTGATGCAGGGGCTCAGAGGTATATGAGCAATGAAAAGGGACAGGTGACAGGTGGTGAAGATGTTTGAGTAGGCAGCTGAAGAGAGTTGTGCTGCCCTAGCCAGCATCTGGCACAGAAGGTCTGGGGCCTACAACTGGGTCCTTTCTTCAATGTGGACCTTCACTTGGGTGGACATTACAGAGGAGGTGCCATGCGCCCTGAGTCATTGACTCAGGCTGAGGTCCCTATAGTCATCCTCTAAACTAGGCCCTTGAAATTCTGAAGGAGATTTTCTATGAGAAGAAGTCAGCAGAGAACCTGGGAAAATGAGTGTACTCCTGGTGGCTTCCGCATGGAATGGTCTGTTTTGGAATTCTGGGGACTACAACATAAAGCAGCCTGGTGGTGTGCCTTTTCAGATCCATAAACACCAGGCTAGGTGTGGTGGTGTGAGTGCTGGGAGCCAGTTAGGACGGAAGGGTATGCTTGGCTGACAGAAGGGAGGCTGTGAGGAGAGCCCAGGCCATAGCCAGCCTTCCTCTTCAGGCTGCTGGTCCTGAAAAAACCAGCACCACTTCACGATAGGAATAGCCATTGGGATAGGGGAGATAGTTTGAGCACTTACCGGGATGGGGTGTCCTGGGTAACTGAGTGTTCTGTGTGAAAGAGAAGGAGAGAGAGATGTTAATCTGCATGCAGCCTCCAGTTACATGTCAGCTACCCGCCCTCCCCACCATGCATGCACAGTGGCCCTCAGGGGATGTGTAACTGGCAAGATGAGCGGAGGTGTGGACCTTGAAGAGGACCAGGAGTGAACGGGAAGAAGGGTGGACAGGGAGCAGTCCTGACAGAAAAACAAAAAACAAAAACAACTGCCTGAGGACCCAGCAGCACAAAAAGTTTGGCTGAGTTTAGAGAGTAAGGTCAAAATGGCCACCGCGAGGGCACAGGCAGGGTAACTGCGGCAAGTTTCAGATTTCATCCTTGGAGAGCTCCAGGCAGGTGTTAGTGCGATATAGGAATTCGATCATGGGATACAGAGAAGCCATATTTTGAGAGGTTGAATTGGAAGTCTTTATTAGAAAGCTAGCAACTGTGAGCAGATACATGTCTCCCCCAAAAACTTGCTGCCTCAAATGCACTTAATACCATTAGGAAACTATTACTATTAGTGAAGAAAGAGCAGGAACAACAATCTCAACAAACCAGATCAACTCTAATGGAGAGGGAATGCCACGGTGACCTGAGGAGAGTCAGGAGATATGGAGCATGGCGGCTGAGGTGGCGGAGGGGGGGGGGTGGGGGGGAGGGTCATGGTCAGGTGGCAGGCTCACAGGGAGCTGGAGAGTTTAGACTTTCAAGAGCTCATGGTACAGGTCTGGTCCAGGAACCTACTGTCCCAGCTCCCACTCCTGCTACTAGGAATCTAAATTCTACCACCTGGGGTTGAGAGTGGGGAAGTGGAATTTCACCTCTAGGAGTTTTCAGAAAGTCCAACAAGGTGCTAAGATGGTGCCAGTTAGGCCCAGTAGCCACATTTCATTACTGACCTGGGAGGATTGAGAGGCGCTGGGAAGGCCCCTCACTGTCTGGAGCTCACAGCAAATGTCCCTTCTTCCTCAGGGACAGCAGTCAGTGGCAGCTCCCTAAACACTCTAGGAGTTTTATCTGCCACACGTTGACACGTGCTGCTCTCATCTTTCCAGGCTCCAATGGACTTACAAGTTTTGGCTTAGCTCTCATTGAACTTCTTCCTTAAGGCCTTCCTTCCTGGCTTTACCAGAGGATGAATACCACCACCCTCTACCTTCTGGGGTCTAGGGGAGCCTGTGCCACAGTGCACTGCAAAGATATGCTCACTTTGCTTCCTTCCTGTGAAGAGCTAGGTCTTTCTTTTGGTGGTATGGGGATTTGAACTGTCTTCTGCCTACTGGGCAAGTGCTCAACCACTTAAGTCACTGTCCCTGACCGATTGTGTGTGTGTGTGTGTGTGTGTGTGTGTGTGTGTGTGTGTGTGTGTCTGAGTGGCTTTAGATTTTCGTCCTCCTCCCTAAGCCTGCTATGTAGCTATGATTACAGGCTGTGATTACACCACTCCCAGCCTGGAATCCTGTCTTACACATCTCTGATAACTTCCAACATGGTGAGGCACAAGTAGGGGTCTGCCACAGGATGGTTGTTGGGTTGCACTGGAGAACGGACACTGGGAAAGCCTGTGGTCGGAACCCTAGGGAGCACTCATTGATGGAAGTGATGTTAAAGGAGTCTTTGTAGCGCTCAGAGGACTGAATCTCCATCTCAAGAGGCAAGGTACTTAACCTCCGGGTCTCAGCTTCCTCAATGCAAACACGAGGCCTGTTGCCACCTCCTGGTCTCCATGCGGGAAGCACAGGTGCAAGATGGTCCCCTAGACGGCCAGCCCTGACTGCCCCACTGCACCCAGACCTGGGATTCACCCACCTGGGTGTCGGCGCGTGGCTCGAGAGACCAGAAGGCCCAGCAGCAGCAGCGCCTTGAGGCCCAGCGCGCCGAGAAGCAGCGCGGTCGCCCAGGCCCCCGTGGCGCCTCGGAGACGGAACAGGTACACGCTGGCCTCCGCCCGGCCCAGGCTGTTGGCCGCGGTGCACGTGTAGCGGCCGTCGTGGGTCAGCGCGGACAGCTCTGCGGTCACCTGGTAGCCATGACCTTGGCCCTGCGCCGGGACCGAGCTGTTGCCCAGGGCAGGGCCCGACCAAGCGAGGACGGGCTGCGGCTCCCCTTCGGCGGTGCAGAGCGCGCGGAGGCCGTGCGCTGGGCCGGGCAGCACCGAGACGTTCACGATCCGCGGCGCGGCTGCGGGGACAGGAGGAGGCCGCAGGTCACGGGCCGAGGCCGAGGCGTGAGCAGCGGGCACAGGCGCCCTCCCTGGGCTCCCTCGAGGCTGAGCGGAGAGGCTCCGAGGGGGAGAGGCCGGACACCGGGCTGCCCGGCTCACAGTCCAGGCGTGGCCTTGGACCAGCGCTTCGCCCTCCCGCGCCGTGCCTCCGCGTCCCCACCGGAGCGCGGGGTTGCTGAGGAGCTGGGGCAAATTAATCGAGGGGAGGCGCCGGGCGGAGGCCTGGCCTGGCCGCTGCTCGCGACCTCGCGACCGGGCGCGGCAGGCGGCTCTGAGCCCCGGTCTCGCCCATCGAGCGGCGCTTCTCCACCGCGGCCGCGCCGGACGGTAGAGGGACGTCTATCCGTTTCTAGTCCCCCGCCAACCGCACTGTCATCGGCTGGCCGCAGGGGACATCCACTCTCACCCCAGCCCGGCTCTTCCCGCGGCCTGCATTCATTCATTCATTCATTCATTCATTCATTCTGCCTTCCCCCCCTCCTCCTCCCCTCCCCCCACTTTCTCTGGTTAATTGGAGATCCCAGTCGCAGATCTTTCCTGCTCCGGCTGGCTTCGAAACCACGCCCCGCAGAGATCTCAGCCTCCTGAGCAGCGCGGACGACAGGCGCCCCCGGGCCCCCCGCGGTGCCCCCGTCGCCCCCGCGGCTCCCTCGGCCCCCGCGCCCCCCCGCGGCCCCCGCGCTCCCCCGCGCCCCCCCCGCGGCCCCCCGCGGCCCCCGCGCTCCCCTGCGCCCCCCGCGGCCCCCCCGCGGCCCCCGCGGCTCCCCGCGCCCCCCCGCGCCCCCCGCGCCCCCCCGCGCCCCCCGCGCCCCCCCCCCCGCGGCCCCCGCGCTCCCCCTGCGCCCCCCCCGCGGCCTCCCGCGCCCCCCCCGCGGCCCCCCGCGCCCCCCACGGTCCCCCGCGCCCCCCCCCCCCGCGGCCCCCCGCGCTCCCCGCGGCCCCCCCGCGCCCCCCCGCGGCCTCCCGCGCCCCCCGCGCCCCCCCCGCGCGCCCCCGCGGCCCCCCCCCCGCGCTCCCCCGCGCTCCCCGCGGCCCCCCGCGCCCCCCCCCCCGCGGCCCCCCCGCGCTCCCCGCGGCCCCCCGCGCCCCCCCGCGGCCCCCCGCGGCCCCCTGCGCCCCCCCGCGGCCCCCGCGCCCCCCCGCGCCCCCCCGCGGGCCCCCCGCGCTCCCCGCGCCCCCCCCGCGGCCCCCCGCGCCCCCCCGCGCCCCCCCCGCGCTCCCCGCGCCCCCCCCCCCGCGGCCTCCCGCGCCCCCCCCGCGGCCCCCCCCGCGCCCCCCCCGCGCCCCCCCCGCGCTCCCCGCGCCCCCCCCCGCGGCCCCCCCCGCGCCCCCCCGCGCTCCCCGCGCCCCCCCCCGCGGCCTCCCGCGCCCCCCCGCGGCCCCCCCGCGCCCCCCCGCGCTCCCCGCGCCCCCCCGCGGCCCCCCCGCGCCCCCCCCGCGCCCCCCCCCGCGCCCCCCCGCGCTCCCCGCGCCCCCCCCCGCGGCCCCCCCGCGGCCCCCCCCGCGCCCCCCGCGGTCCCCCCGCGCCCCCCGCGGCCTCCCACGCCCCCCGCGGCCCCCCCGCGCCCCCCCGCGCCCCCCCGCGCTCCCCGCGCCCCCCCCGCGGCCCCCCCCGCGCCCCCCCGCGCTCCCCCGCGCCCCCCCCGCGGCCCCCCCCGCGCCCCCCCGCGCCCCCCCGCGCTCCCCGCGCCCCCCCCGCGGCCTCCCGCGCCCCCCCGCGGCTCCCCGCGCCCCCCGCGGCCCCCCCGCGCCCCCCCGCGGCCTCCCGCGCCCCCCCGCGGCTCCCCGCGGCCCCCCTGCGCCCCCCCGCGGCCCCCCGCGGCCTCCCACGCCCCCCGCGGCCCCCCCGCGCCCCCCAGGCCCCCGCAGCCCCCGCGGCCCGCCTCACCCGTCACGCGCAGCCGGACGCCGTGGCGGCTCTCGTAGCGGTCGTGGACGTCGCCCGCGAACTCGACGCGGCAGAAGTAGCGGCCGGCGTCGGCCAGGGCGAGGCGCTCGACGCGCAGGGACAGGTCGTTGCGGCGCGGGTTGCCCCGCAGGCGGAAGCGGCCGTGCAGGCTCAGCGCCGTCTGGCAGAGCTCGCTGCCGCGCGCCGCCGCGCAGCGGAACACCTGCGGGCCCGCGTAGGGCTCGCCCGCGCGCCAGATGGCCGTCAGCGGCCCCTCGTAGTGGCGGTGCGGGTGCGTGAAGGTGCACGGCAGCACCGCGGCCTCGCCCGCCGCCGCGCTCACCTCGGCCGGCACCTGCATGGACCAGCGCTGGGTCGGCGCACCTGCGGGCCGGGTGAGACCGGAGGCTGGAAGGCTGGGACTCCCGGAGACAGCGCCATGGCCGGGCTCCCTAGAAACCCCTGGGAGGCCTGGAAACCACTTTTGGTCTCAGGGGTGGCAGCTCCCTGGTCCTGTTCTCCCACGATGGGGGTGGGAGGTGGGAAGCTGGCCTTCATTTATGGTGGTCGGCCTCACCCATAGACCAAGTGACCCCCACATCTCCCCCCTTGCTATTACTCCGTGCCAGTGGCTCACTCCTACAGTCCTAGCTGTCCGGGAGGCTGAGATCCGAAGGGCTCAGTTGGAAGCAAGTCTGGGCAGGAAAGTCCATGCGACTTTTTTATTTATTGGTCGGTCGTGGGGCTTGAACTCTGGGCCTGAGCGCTGTCCCTCAGCTCTTCAGCTCAAGGTGAGCGCTCTACCGCTTGAGCCACAGTGCCACTTCCTGGTGGTTTATTGGAGATAAGAGTTTCATGGACTTTCTTGCCTGGGCTGGCTTTGAACCATGATCCTCAGATCTCAGCCTCCTGAGTAGCCAGGATTACAGGCGTGAGCCACCAGTGCCCGGCCCATGAGACTCTCATCTCCAATTAACCACCAAAAAGCCAGACATGGAGCTGTGGCTCAAGTGGTAGAGGGCAATGTTGAATGGAAAAAACTAAAGGACACTGCCCAGGTCCTGAGTTCACTCCGTAGTACCAGCACATAACAAAACTTGTCCTGCTGAATTAGTTGCCACGGTTACAACAGAGTCTCAGGATAGATGATAAAACCACTTACTGTGCACCTCGGTGTTGAGCAAATCCCCAGCAGTGTCTCTTTTAGTTCTCACAAATGATTCTAGAGATAAACAGAGTTATCCTAGGTTACATGTTAATAAACTGAGGCACAGAGAAACTCAATAATTGTCTGAGCTCACAGAACGAAGGTCAACCAAAGCCAGGATTTGCACTCTGTTCTGCAGCCTTTAGTGTGCAAGAAGCACAGAGCCTTGGCTATGTGGCATTACACCATTACTGAAGGAGGGAAACCGAGGCCTCAGAGGGACACTGCTTTGAAGGTCATGTGTTGAGTTGTTTTAGAATCTAGGTTTACCCAAGTAATTATTACCTCACTCATTTCTCAAAAAGTGAGTGCCTGGGTAGGAAACAGAGAGACCAGAATGGTAAGTGCAGGTACCAGGTGACCTCCTTGCTATGGTCCTCTGGACTCAATTTCCCCACCTCCCACTTTGTGAGCTACTATAGAATAGGGAGGCAAGGGCTGGCAGCTGAGCTTGCCTCCAGTACATCCAAGGCTGGGGAGCCACAGGGCTTTTTGTTATTGCTGCCAGACAGGATAGGCCAGGGGCAGTGTCTCCCCGAGGAGCGCGGGCAGGCTGCTTAGCCTGCCTGGCCAGTGCTCTAGGGCACAGTGCACAAAAGGCACTTTAGAGGGAATAATATTGGGCTCTGCCCTTTACATGGCTTTTCATCTCTACCATGCCATGTGACCCATTCATGCCAGGTGCTGGGTTATGAGCTGTGGCGACAAAGATGATGAACAGGACACCCAGTAAAGAAAGGCAGGACAGATACTGTTTTAGATGAGAAAATGAAGGTCCAGAATTACAGAAAGAGGGAGAGGTCCAGCCTTTCTGATGAAGCCCAGTGTACTTTTCTGACTCCAAGCCCCATCCACTCTTTGGGCAGGAATATCCTCCACCCACAACGGGCAACCTACCTGCCTGTAAATATCCTACAGCTCAGGACACTCCTGCTGCTGGAACCATGCCTAAGATCCCAAGACTAATGAAGCACGCACATCCTCTTCCTCCTGCTGGCCATTCCAGGATCCCATCATGGTGACCTGGACCTACTGTCCTCTATGCCTTCCCTTTTCTGGTGGCAAAGTCCCAGTTGCTCACCTGCCTTCCCCATCCTCCTTTTCCCCTCTCTGTCAGGTTGTGTCCTGACTCAGGTGTGCTGTACCTCAGAGTGGGGTGAGCCGGCAGTGCTGCCTCAGGCTGGGAGTCATGTCTACAATAAACCACACTGTGCGTGCATGCCCAGCTTATGATCAAGAAAATCCACAAATTCTTCCCCCCCTCCCCATACAACTACTTTTATGCTTAATCTCTTTTGTTCTTAACAAGTAGGATTATGTGTTGTTGTTTAAACCAATGGAGAACTTGGCATTTATCCTTAGTAAGAGCTGGTTTTCTCAGTTGTTAATAATCAGAAGGCCTAGTTCCAAATTTGGGCGAGGCTGGGTGGGTTCAGTCTCAAGGTTCAGCTGCTGCCTCCCTTTCCCTGCCACTTCCCGCTCTGTGTGACCTCAGTTTCCTCTGCTCTCTTGCAGCTCAAAGGCATCAGAGAGTTAGGAACGGATTCTCCACAGATTATTTGCTATTGTGCACTCATCAGTTCAGCAAACATTTATTGGACACTTCCCCACTCCATGCCAGGTGCTGGGATCTGAGCTGTGGTGACAAAGAAGACCAGGATGCCCTGTCACCCTGCTGGAGCTCATGCCTCCAAAAGGGAGACAGATCTGTGAATACATAATTGCACTGCAGTCTGCCAGGGGCTCCAATGATGAATGTGAACAATGTCACCTCTGTCTGTGCATGGTTCCAGGCCCATTTTCACTCACTAGCTTCCTCCTGTTTCTCTGCTGAGTTGTCCCCACCACAGGAGTCCTTTCCGGAGCCTCAAGCCTGATTCTGGCATTCCTGTTCTGTACCCTAGGATGGCACAACCACTTCTTCAATGTGCACATCACCCATCTCAACTATGTGTCACTTCACAGCCATAGGAGGTCAGGAAAGAGCCTGTGCTTTATTTGTGCTACTGTTATCCAGCACAGTGCCTGCTCCTGGTAATGGATACTGGGCTGAATTGTAGAAGGGATGAGAATGGCTGGAGAAGGTGTGCAGAGAGGGGGCAGGCAGGGATTGGAAAGCCCACCAGAGAGGAGAGGTGGGTTTAGAGAGCCTAGAGAAAGGAGAGGATCGCACAATCATATTCAGGACACAGGTAAGAGCAGAGCAATACCATGAGATATGGATACCTTAGGGACATAGAGATTGTAGAATATGGTGAGAGGAGGCCGGATCTCTGCAGAATGGGAGATGGTCAGAAAGCTTTCTGGGCTCATTTAAAATTCACAATAGAGTCAGGTGTCAGTGGCTCAAGCCTGTAATCCTAGCAATTCAAAAGGCGGAGATCTGAGGATTATGCTTCAGAGCCAGCCCCTGCAGACAAACCCATGTAACTCTCATCACCAATTAACCAGCAAAAAGCTGGAGCTGGAGGTATAGTTCAAGTTGTAGAGCACCTGCTTTGAATGGAAAAGCTAGGGGAGAGTGTTAGGCCCTGCGTTTCTAAGGGGGTGTGACTCAAGTGGTAGAACCTGCCTAAAACACACAGACAGATACATATAACAAACCACAACAACAAAAACCAAAACAGCAAAAATTTAAAGGTAAGTTTGCCAACTCTGAGAAAACAGGGAGTGAGACTTGATGAGGTCATTTGACCAACCCATAGTAGAGGTAGAGCTTGCCCCTGGGTAGTTTTGCCATCTTCGTTCATGTTGTTACCTTTACACCCAGCACTGTTGCCCGAGGACTGGTTTGAAACACCCTGAAAGGGGCTCCAAATGGCAGGTGTGGCCCACCCTCCCTGGTGAGTTTCACTGTACAAGTGAAGGACACACAGGTTCTTTCACTGAGAGGTCCAGGCTTGGCTCCTATTAGGAGGGCATGTGTGTGCTTCCTGTTTACCTCCTGAATGGGGCTCAAAGGGGTGGGGCCTGGCCTTTTCCTTTGACACAGGGACCTTTGGATGAGGCTGCCCCAGAGATTCAAGGTGAGAGAGAGCAAGAAGTTCTCAGCAAGAATTGCCCAGGAAACAAAGGTGTTTGCTTTGGCAGAAACCTCAGCATCTGCTGGCATTTACCATTGCCTTGGGCAGCTCATGCCTGTCAGTGAAGACTGCAGGGATGACTCTTAGATTGGAGCTATCCCTTACAGTAAGGTCTCTAACTAATCTACCTCATGTTTGACCACCTCCCAGGGTCAATAAGGATCTCACAGATGGGACTATAGAGAGCACATCAGCTTTGGAACAACTGGACTTCCAGAAAGACCATCACACTTCTGGTCATTCTTTCATCAGACTGTGTGTGTGTGTGTGTGTGTGTGTGCGCGCGCGCGCGTGCACACCACACATGCACTGGGGTTTGAACTCAGCATTTCATACTTTAGCTTGGAGCACTCTACCACTGGAGCCCACCTCTAGTCTTTGCTGGATAATTGGAGATAAAAATCTTGTGGATTTGTCTTCCCTGTGCTGTCTTTGACACTCCATGCTCAGATCTCAGCCTCCTGTGTAGGATTATAGGCATGGGCCACCAGCACTCAGCTCATCAGGCTTCCCCCCCTCTTTTTCTTTTTTTCTTTAAGTATTTGTACAAAGAGGTTTCAACAGAACATGCGCGGTTCTGAGTACACTGCATCTTGATCAGTTTCATCCTTCCATCATTCTCTCCCTGCATCTGTCATAAGTCTCAGACTTTTACGAGACCCTCAGTCCCTGCCTGCCACTGGTTTAGGGAGATCATTTGGATAAGTTCCTAATATCTCAGGTCTCAAGCTCCTCATTTGTAAAATGGGTACCATAACAACTCTGCATAGGATTGGAGATCAAATAAAACCTCACATGGAGGTCACCTGGCCATACCTGGGAAACAGTAAGTTCTTTTCTGACTGGTCTTCCTCAACCCTCCAGGCTTGCCAGCTTGCCCTTTAACCCTTTCTTCTTCCGTATGTAACTGTGCTTGTGGCTGTGGCTCTGACCTGCGTAATCTGAAGTAATCAAGATGAGGAGTCACAGGCTATGCCTGTCCTGGGCCTGGTGCCCTCCGCAGGAAACTGCTTCTCAGAGTTCTGATGTAGCTGGTGCCTGCCCTGAGCCCTGGGCCTCTGCTGAGTGGCCCTGCTCCTCTTTCCTTCTCCCTTTCCTGGACAAAGCATCCAATGGGAGCAGAGAAGTCCTCACTAAGCCCTCCTACTTCCTCTTGGTCCAGCACAGCAGCCCTGCACCTTCCTGACCTCTTTCTGCATCCCAAATCAGCACCCTCAGGTGTGTGGGTGACTGCTGCCACCTCTCTTGCCATTCTGGTTTTCTGCAATAATTAAGATCTAGTAAACAAATGCCTCTTAGCACCAAGTTTTGTCTCAGTAATCTTAGTGAGGGGTTAGGTATGCTGTCAGAAGACTTCCATCCACATCTAGGCTGTGACATCCAGCAAAACCATTGAATCTCCCCAGCCTGCCCTGGAATAGGAATGAAGATCCCCTCCTTGCAAGCTGGTGGTAAAGAGTAACTCAGTTGTTGGTCAACAGCCTTGCCCAAAAAGAGTCCCAAGTAGCAGCCATGGTAATAGCCACACCAGTGTATTTGCAGCCCTCAAGGTCATCTAAGTGGGCAGAGCTCCAAGACCAGTGTTTATCCCCTTGCCCTACACTTTCTGGCCTCTCCAGTTTTCAAAAACCAGATTTTGGAATGCCTGGAGAAATGAGACTTCTGCATGCTGGGCATAAGTGGCCTGGCATGAAAGAGGAGGGCAGGGGAAGTGGAATTTCTGGGATGAATCCTCTCGCTTCGCTTTCATCAAGGGCCTGCCCTGGGCCCTGCTTTACTGGACATGAACAGAGCATGGACCGGGACCACATTAGCACAGTACCCTATTCATAAGGGCCTGGGGTCTGCACATAGCAGTTGAACCTATTGGATTTGACCTCAGGGTCTTCCACCTTAGAAAGCCACTTTTGTCCTCTGGTGTAGCCACATGGATAGGCTCACAGGTGAACAACAACCAGAAGGGGTTCAGGAAGTGGAGTTTCTGGATCACCCTGATTCACGGGGCTCATGGTTTTTACCAGTAAAGTGGTTGCTGGTATGTGAAGAAAAAGGGCCAAGTTGGTTTACAGTCTCAAAACACAGCTAAAAATGGAGCACTGGTGGCTCATATTTGTAATACTAGCTATTCAGGTGGCCAGTAACTGGAGGATCATGGTTCAATGCCAGCTCAGGCAGAAAAAGTGTGAGGACTCCATCAACAGTTAACCAGCAAAAAGCCAGACTGGAGGTGTGGGTCAAGTGGAAAAGCACCAGCCATAGGCATAAAAAGCAAGCTGAACAAGTACAAAGGCCCTTAGTTCTAGTTCCAAGATTGCGGGGGGTAGTTCCAAGATTGCGGGGGGTGGGGGATGAGGGAAGAAAAAGCAGGGGATAGGGGAAGGAAAGAAAAAAATAGCTTTAGCATACGTAGTTCAGTTTTGGTTCTTGAACATGTGACTAGCCTACTCATGCTTCCTCAAAATTTTGTCTTTAACTGATTCACAGCAGCTGACCTTCTGAGGGAGAGAAAAGAACTAACCCAGAGTCCCAGTTCCCAGGACCATCTCTCTCAGTGTTCTGTGACTTGATCAGCCTTTGGGCAGACACAGAGCCCATGCTGCCAGCTCCTCCTCCCTATCTGGTTATCCTGGAAGGTTGACTGACAGCTCAGAATGCCACAGGCTCAGCAAGTGGCCCATGCTTGCACAGGCTATGGTGACACAGGTGCTGTGTCCAGGAGTGCAGCTATGGGAGACTTCTGGTACTAGGATTGGCAAAAAGACTGGGTTTGAAGAGAGGAGTTTATGAACCCTTTGCCATTTGTCTTTATTGCTCTCATCAGAATCTCCCCAGTAGCTGGGCCTTGATGCCTGATCTTCTGAAACTGTGGTTGAAGCTGCAGCCAATGGATTTATTTTATTTCTTCCTCTCTTCTTTCTGGGAATTGGAACCCGAGCCTTGCACCTGCTAGGCAAGCACTCTACCACTGGACTATACATACATATATATATATATATATATATATATATATATATATATATATATATTGCCCAGCCAGAATTTGCATTGCATTTTAATAAATATCCCCTCTTCTGGGATTCTGATGCGGAGGGTCCCTGTGAGATGCTTGTGAGAAGCTCTGGTCCTAGGGATTCCAGTCCACTGAGGTAAGTGACGTTATTACTTCATTCGGCCACCAATACTTCCCACCACTTGTCTTTATCCTTGGGCCTGATTCCCCACAGAAAATCATCTCCATCCTTACCCCAACACTGTCCCCAAACAACTATGCATTTTCCTCCCCTTATCCTCAGGACAGAGCTCATTAAGACCTAAAACACTGGCATGACAGCATCACCCAGAGCATGTCCAGAGCCTGCGTTACCTTCCCCATTCAGAGCCCCCTATTTCCCAAACGATGCAGATAGGGGAGGTGGTCTTTTACACTGGAAGTCAATGAGGCCCAGGAGGTCAGGGGGCTGGCCTCAAGTCACCTGGACACCTAACAGAGCCCAGATTTGAACCTATGACTCTTGTCACCACAGCCCTGAAATGTGTTGCCTTTCTTCCTGCAGCAGCAGGAAGCGGGGATGGGGGAGGTAGGTAGGAGGGGAGGCCATGGCCAAGATTACCTATTCTGGGCCAGCTTGACCAGTGAAACTCACCCGTTGGGATGACACACAACAAGCAGGCCAGGAGTCTGATGGACCCTTCCATGCTGTAGCAGCTGGACCCGAGCAACATCACGTCTGGCTGGGTCACCAGCGAGAGACCCCCTTGGGCGTGAATGCGATGAAGGTGGGTGGGTGGGTGGGTGGGTGGTGAGCCCTGGTCTTCAGACCCCACTGGGTTCCTTGTGAGCTGGAAGAACTGAGGACAGGCAGCCTGGCGGCTGCTGGTGTGATTAGACAGGACCCGTGGGGTTTAGTCATGTGGAAAAACCAAGAGAGGAATTGCTGGGATGATGTTCAAGGACAGGACAAAGGGGAAGTCGGTGGAGAAGGAGCAGGAGCCTTTCCTGTAGCCACTGGCTCTTCCTTCCTTCTTTCCTGCCCTCCTTTCCTATAGTATCAATGTACCCAATGAGGTTTCTCTCTTTTGATCCCCTTTAAAATTTTGTTTAATTGTTATTAAACAATTAAACAATTACGGTTACATCAGTCAAGTAAAGAGTACATTTCTTAGCAGATTTTTTTTTTTTTTTTGTCAGTCATGGGGCCTGAACTCTGGGCCTGGGCGCTGTCCCTGAACTCTTCAGCTCAAGGCCAACACTCTACCACTTGAGCCACAGCACCACTTCCAGCTTTTTCTGCTTATGTGGTGCTGAGGAATGGAACCCAGGGCCTCATGCATGCGAGGCAAGCACTCTACCACTGAGCCACCTTCCCAGCCCCAAAAGTACATTTCTTTTTGGACATTTCTTTTTCTCTCTCCTAGTTTTTCCCTCCTTCCCCTGCCCACAAGCTGTATAGTTCATTTGCAATGTAGTGCATCCCTTTCTTTTTCAAGCTGTCTTCTAGAGAGGGCTTTTTTTTTTTCTTTTCAGGATATTGAGGGGATGAGCCTCAGTGAGAGAGACTAGGAAAGTTGTCAGTGTTTGCAAGAGAAAGACTGCATTAGCTAATGGTTTACTTTCACAATGAGAGTCCCCTCTGGAGGGACTGTGGTCTGAACAATACTTGTAAACCTTCAGTGGCCTGAAGGATCACCTAGACCCAGCTGGTCTGGGGAAGAGCAGGCAGGAAATTTCCATCTCTAACTAGTCCCAGGTGCTGCCTAAGTTGGTCCTTCAGCCGCACCTCTGCAACAAGCTAAGAGGACTCTCCATCCAGGGCCCGCTGTGTGGTACTCTCAGGTAGAAGCCAGGACCTTGGGGAGGGGAGGGGATACCCGGAAGCTTTGGGATAGGCTCTTTTGTGGGGAGTAGAAGGAAGCTGATGGTGAGAGTGTCTGTGGATTGGAGTTAATTTATAATTTGGACTGTGATGAGCAACTTCTTTCAGGTAATGGACTTCATGCAGAGGTTGGGGGAGCAATGTGGTGCCTCCTTTGGACTCTTTTCTAAATTAAATTGCTAAGAGATAATTGAAGGCTAAGAGATAGAATGGGTTATAATGGGATTTGTCAAATTCATGTAAGACAAAAGCTGTCACTATTATTTAGCATATATTAATTGTACAAGGGGTTTCATCACATTAACATTCCTGTATATACTGTACTTTGTCAAATTCACACTCTATTACTCTTTGCCCCAAACCCTTTCCTTTCCATTCCATGCCTTTCCTTCCATTTCCTTCCTTCCTTCCTTCCTTCCTTCCTTCCTTCCTTCCTTCCTTCCTTCTTTCCTTCCTTTTCTTTCCTCCTCCTCTTCCTCTTTTTCCTTCTTCTTCTCCCAAAGAGAGAGTCAGTAGGAGGTGTCAGGGGAGATGGATGGCAAGGGGAGAGCATTTCCTTTCCTTTCTTTTCTTCCCTTCATTTCTCTCCCTTCTCCTCCCCTCTCTTCATCTCCCTTTATCTTCTCCTCCCTACTGTTTTTTTCTTCCTCTTCAGTACTGGAGTCTGAATTCAGGAACTTACACTTCCTAGGTAGATGCTCTACTTGAGCCACAGAAACTGTAACTTTAATAAGATGTAAATGAGACCTTTAGTTAATCGCTAGAGTTGAGGAAATTACTATTATAGAGTCCTTGGCTTGGGATCATTGGCCAGTATATGAAGAAGTAGCCTCAAGTATAGTTAGCCATTGCTCTTGGACAACGATAGTACAGGACGTTTGGCAAATTACACCCAGATATAGTGCACTGGTTCCCTTGTTCCTGCCTGTTATTGTGTCCTTTCTGCCTGTCTGTACCATATCAGAGGAAATCAGAACTGGCCCTGAAAAGGTGGAGTGTTATCACTCCCAAAGCTCTATCTTTGGGGGCTCAGAGGTGCAAAAGGCTATTTACAGGGAGGGAAGGTAGGAGCGGATCTGGAAGGCTCCATGCTGAATAGTGTCTTCATTATCCAGGGTGTGTGTCCCTTTTTTCTTCTTTTTTTCAGAGCCCCATGATGGATGGCAGTGGAGTTGCTTCTGTAGCTCTTCACAGACAACATTCTCTTCTGCAAGTTCAAGCTCACATCAACTTCTGTAAGTTGATGCTTTGAACTTAAAGATTGAGGATGGCTCTACAAAGGTCACCAGATGTTCTGGGTTATGTAAATGGACTGCAGGATTGTTTAGCAGTTGCCATCTTAACCAGCTAGGTGGGGTTTCTCTCCAGAATTTAGAATGCTGGGAAAAAGAGAGGGGATGACGTAAAAGGATTAGGGAGGACAGCACCGTAAGCGAGGGTAAACTCTGCTGAGGACAACTCCCCACAGGAGTGGCTCTGTCACACCTCTCAGGTCTTCTCTTATCACTTCAGGCCAGGCTTTAGTTTATAACAAGCATTATGAAAGTACAGTAACAGAGTAGAAGTTTTACCTGGGAGGCTAAGCAGGTGTTCAGGATCATCTGATGTCAAAACTTGGACTAGGTCTCTGGTGTCCAGTTATGTATGTGTATAGAAATATGTCAGTATAGTGTATGCTGATGCTGATTTTTAAAGAGATCTCTTTGTGTTTCTAAATTAAAGTCTGTTCTACTTGGCTGCTCCAATGTCCAGGAAACAAGAGTGAGGAAGGAATCAAATTTATTTAAGGTCTGCGAGGGTCTGTGTGTCTCAAAGCTTTATCTTGGGAAGGCACAAAAGACTTTTATAGGGAGGAAAAGGAGGAGCAGGTCAGGAAGGCTCCATGTTGAATAGGATTTTCCTTATCTAGCGCTTGTGCCTCTCTTTTTCTTTTTCTCTGAGATGGCCTTTTTAGTTTTTCTTCAGAGCATTGCAATGCACCTCCAGCTAGAGTATCTTCTGAAGGTTTCTTTTTCTTTTCCTGTCTTTCTTTCTTTATTGGTTGTGGGGTTAAACTCAATATGGACACTGTCCCTGAAGTTTTTTTGCTCAAGATTAGTGATTTATCACTTTGAGCCACAACTCAACATCCAGTTTTCTGGTGGTTAATTGGAGATAAGAATTTCATGGATTTTCCTGTCTGGGCTGGCTTTGAATTTCATTCCTCAAATCTCAGCCTCCTGAGTAGCTACAATTACAGGCTTGAGCCATCAGTGCCCATCTCTTTTTTGCTTTTCTCTCTCTCTCTCTCTGTTTGACAGGATGTAGATGTAGGATTTAATGGTGGGCATGATTAAAGTGGAAGCAGCCCAGTGGGTGGGCTCACCACTTGTCCAGGGGACTATGTTGGGGGACATGTTTGATCTTACTGCCTTTGTGTATAGGATGCTTATACATCTACATTAACCATTCACTTCTATGAGGTGTAGGATTTCTGGTGGCCAGGACCTAGAACTAGCCTCAATCACATATCCTTTGTTTTTCAGCTGATGGCCATGATTTGGCCAATGGCCACCATGTCCTGGGGTTTCTAAAAGTGTCTTTCATACCTGTCTGGAGAGTGGGGACAGCATGACACCAGAGAGATGAATGTCCCCTGGAAAGCCCCCTGGTCTTTGGGAGGCCCTTAGGGCAATACAAACAAGCAATAGGTGGTTTGTATTACCAAGGAGGCTACTGTGTGCCACCAATGCACACTGTAGCTCTTTTTAGACAGACACATTGCTTTTCTGCAAGTTGACCTTCCATTGGTGTTCATGCTTTCTGTTTGCTGATGCATAGAACTAAAGACTGAGGAAGGGTTGTTATAAGGTCACCAGATGTTCTGGGTTCTGTAAATCCAAAGAAGGATTATTTAGCAGTTAACATCTTAACACTGGTTAGGTGGGGCTTCCCAATAGACTGCAAAAGGATTAGGGAAGGGCGGAAGGGCAAAGGAGAGAGAAGCAAGTAACTCTGCCAATGACAACTACTCAAAGGAGTGGCTCAGTCACACCAGGGCAGACTCACCTGGGCTTTACATGTAGGGTGATTGTGTAATTTATTATTGAAGTTAGATCACTTTTGTCTGGGACAAATGGTAAACTGTCAGGATATTGGTATAGTCATCATGAACCAAGATCATCCTGGAAGACCGGACATAGAAGCCCGTTTTTATTTTTTCCCCTTTTCTAGAAACATCCTTTCCTATTGTCCTTATTGCACAGTGTCTTCAAAGCATTATGAAGCTACACCTGTCATTCAGGACTTGCTGTGATATTTCCCCTGCATCTTGGGTAGACAAGGAAGGTGATAGGAGTCCAAGTACAGATTGTCATATTTAGGATGGCTTCACGTGTGATTTTTTTCCCCTCAACCTTGGGAAACAAGTACACATTCACTAGACACTTCATATCAAATTCTGAATGTTAATTTCCCCCCCAGGCTAGTGATGTGCAGCCTGATCTTCCATCAAGATTGCCTTACAAGTAGAGGCAATGAGGCACACTTCCCTTCAGCCATGAGATTATGAGGATGAGTAACTGACAGGCAGCAAGGTGCTGTGTGACTAACCTATGATGCTCAGTATCTTAGGTGTATTAAATACATTTTCATCTTATGTTGTTGTCGACTTAGGATGACTTATCAGAGCACAGGCTCATCATAACTGGACAGTAATTGTATTTCTAGTTATGCAGGCGGAAGTCTGTCCTCTCCTACTATGATCCTTTGCCTTGTTTTTCCTGAGAATCTCTATATAAGTAAGATCTAGATGAACATGCACAGAGCCTCTGAGGGTGAAGT